TCAACTGCTGTTATTTTTTTCTCGGGTAGTTTTAGCAAGTGGGTAGCAAGAATACGTGCATTTCATACAGGCGTCATCAGTGCGTGAAAACTGAAGGCGTCCACAGATGACTACTGGCGAATAACAAGCATGACAATCACCAAACGAAAGTCAATTGACATTTCAAACATGACGTTCGTGTCTTCCAACCCATCAGTTGTAAGCCGCATTCAATACTTCGACGAGGAACCGTACTTGACACCATGCTATAGGTTTGTGTATTTCAGATAACATCTTCATTGAACCGTTGAAAACGGGCGTCATAGCACCTCGTCGAGCGATTGATGATTTCAATTTTTTCGGAAGCGTTCATGAGGAGAGCAAATATTACGAGTTTATGAATGCAGTCTATCAGTAAAATATTTATGGTGACTCTTAAATCGTCAGTATTTTCTGCTGTAGGAAGAATTGTATCCATCTGGACAGGTGTGATATAAACAGATTTGGTTACTGACTATTTGAAGCCCATTGCTTCACCATGTTTTCCGGTGAAGGTGGGTTGTTCTACAAAGATAAAGCAACCCTAAATCTATCCAATGGAACTTAACTGAGTTTCTATTCAAATCCGTGTTCAAACGCATCGGACATGTATGACACATATAGCAGGGATCATTAATTCCCTTGCACGCACACGTAACAAACACAATTAAGTTATGAATAGTTATTTTCAGGAAAGCGTTATTAAATATTTTTTTTTTGTTTTATTTTGGGTGTGGAGTGGGTTACTTTTATATGTGTATGCGCATATGAACGAAGGAATCTTAGCCCCTGTCTGTTCAATTCGAGCTTGTTTCTCTTTGATCTGAGTGAGCCTAAATAATTGCTGGAATGTCCTTCTTTTGTTCTTGATTATTCTGTCGACCGGAGTGACCTTTTCGTGGTCATCCGGGCCTTCGGGGAAAGTCAAATCCAATTAATTCGGAACACACATTATGTATATCTAGGTCGCCTGAAAAAAAAAAAAATCAACGAACCTATAGCAGGGTCAGATCAGGTTCTCATAACAAGAGGATTAAAACCAGAGAGTGATATTATCCACTTGGCGAATCAGTAAACACTCGTTACAGCATTAATTTAGTAAAACAGAAAAAAAAGAAGAAATTATGAAAATAATTTCCTGCGAGAGGCGCCAGACTAGATTCTTAAAATGAAACGAAATAACCAAACATCAGTTTTCTTTAAGTGTTTCTTAGAAATCCGGTTAGCTTTTTCACAATACCTCCTTTTCTTTAAGTTAACGTCAGGATATATCACCTATTTTTTTTAAGCGTTTTACCCCAAGCAAGGCGGGAAGCCACTAGGACGCAAGGGGTTACAGAAAATTTGGAGCAAGACCAGATATGAGTGATAGAAGAAATGATGAGGAGAAGGATAGTGGATAGATCAAGACAACTGGAGATGTCGATTGACATTACATTTGAATAGTTGGAGATTATAGCTCTCAGGGAAACTGGAATAGGGAAGGGAGTTCCACAGGTGAGAGGTGCGAGACATGAAGCTATTGGAGTAGAAGAGACGGCTACATTTAGGAGTTTCGACAGTGAAAGGGTGAGAGCGGGATGCCAGCCTCGTTGGGCGCTTGAACTCATGAAGTCTGGGAATCAGCGAATGCAGCTTCTCGGAGTAATTGCCATGAAAGTATTTGTAAAAAAGACAGAGAGAGGCGACGGCGTGTCTGTGAGAAAGTGACTGTAGACGAGATGCCAGAGCAGGGCCAATTATATTGCATATCCGCCTGAAATCTTCTATCGGCGAGCAGGAAAGTAAATAATTATTTTTCTTCATGTTCACGAAGCTAATTTGATTCTATGTTTAGAATGTCTTTATGTTTTAAGAAAGTAGTTTCCAAATCAATTTTATGATTCACACGAGGGTCACAAGGATACGCCTAAGGACCAGGAGATGGTTTGAAAAAATAATTTTGATCAAAATTTTAAAAATAGAAAAATATTAAAATCAAAACATAGTACAAACATATTTTTTTTCACAGATTTAGTATATAAAAACCCCAATGAGAAATCGCAAAATATTCGTGAATAAATATGCAGCGGCAACTATTTGAAAACACCCGTTGCATTCCTGGCTGCTTATGTCATATACTTGCATCACGAGTCTTCTGATGCCTTACAAAATCGCAGTATCACTTTTTACTCACTTCGGACGTTGCTGCTTTTGATGATTTACACTGTAAAAGGTTTAATTGGTGTTGGGGCTTTGATTTTCTTCGATAGATTTATGGGGTATCGAAATTTCTTTTTATCTTTTAAATTTCTCATTACCTTTCCTATGAGAGGGGTTGCCGGAAATCTGAAATAGTTGCCAAAATGAAACCAAATGACCAAATAACAATTTCTTTCGTGTGTGTTGGGAAAGACATCTTGGTTTGGCCAAAACTTTTCCTTTCACTACCTCCTTATATTCAATATTTTGAATATAAATAAACACATTTATCAGAGCATCCACTTCTTTCTTTCTTTCTTTTTTTCTTTCTTTCTTTCTTTCTTACACACAGGCACATATTCCCTCTTGGACACACGCACGCACACATAAATAAATACACAAGCACAAATAGAGAATTCTTTCTAGTATACTCTTTGCAAATGTTAATTTACTTTTTTTTCGCAACGACCGAGATTTTGTCTCTTACATGAAGATATTTAAATTATAAAAGAATCGACAATGTTATTGGTCCTGACCTGGCATCTCGGCTCTCCCACCGCTGTAAAGTAGCTCCCTATGCATTTTGTATAAATATTACCATGGTAATTGTTCTGGTGAGCTTTCCTCTTTCTAACTTAGTCTTGAATAATTTCTAGTTTGGTGGCAATATCTCATAATCTTACAGATAAAATGGTTAAATGTAACCGTAAGTTCTATGCTAACAGTTTCTTCCACAGCATTTCTCGCTTGTGGAACTCTTTTCCGTTTTCTTGCTTTCCAGTCAATTCTGATCTTCAAAACTTTAAATGCAATATCAATCGACATCTTCTGTCTTCCAGATTCTTCTTTTTATTGTTCTCGCTCCTTCTTTTCTTTTTCTCATATGCTCTCACACTCACTAACCTAAACTGCAAAGTCTTTGCTAGGCAGTTATTAGATCTTATAAAAGTCTCCCTAATTCTGAACATTAAGCCAAAGGTACCGGTTCTCATGTTAAACAGAATTCATAAGCAATCAAAATAGTACCCGGAACACAGTAGCTGGCACACAGTTGTGTACAAGAATTTACTTATGCAAGTAGAAAACTATCTAGCTGCGAAAGTGATGTAAATACACGCATTGGTAAAAACCTGGAGTGTCGTCGACAACTTATTTCTAGTATAGAAATCTAAACCTCCAAATAACATGAAAAGGAGACTCTTTCAAGCAACTGATGACCTAACACGCAGCACTTTGCTTTCGATCAAAGCACAGTTGTAAGAGAAATTCCCAGTTTCGATATTACCTGATGCTACTCCATTCCCCTAGTTCGGAACGATTAACAATTCGTCTCCTTTCAGAAAATTACAATGCCGATGACACTAGAGTAGGAAGCATTTTGAAGTGTGTGTTCCATTGTTCCATTTGTGTCTTGAGAAGATATTGTGCCATTTTAAATGTGTAAATATAACGATTCAATGTAGGTTAAGCAAGAAGAATTTGTTCATTTTCAGGATGGGCATAAATCGAACAGAGCTGCCGTTTGGATACCAATTCCAAGAGAAAAATATTATTATTATTTTACTTATAGTATATATCTTTATACAAACACACATACGTAAATAGTTATGTGTTTGAAATTTTTTCTTTAATCATTTCACCAAATAATAAAGCAATAAAGGCACTAAAACGCTACTGATAGTAAAAGAGAATGAGAAGAATTTCAGAGAAGGAAATGGCGGCGAGATCGCATCCATTTACTTTTGAGCTAGCTAGATTTTGCCGTAACTTATACGCTAAGGGTTTCTTTTCTAGCACTTCCCGTTTGTGGAACTCCCTTCTGGCTCCATGCTTTCTAGCCATCTTTAATATGCAAGAATTTCAATGCATTGTCAATCGCTATCTACTGAAGGCTCTTTCTCTTTATACTCTTTTTAACTAATGTTTCTGTTCCTAATTCCTCTACAGCCTGTAACTCCTTGCGTGTGTTAATGGCTGTACTGCTTTGCTTGGGGTGACACTAATTAAAAAAAAAAGCAAAAAAAAAAGAAACCCAATCTTAAACAGGAAACAAACGATAAACCTCTACTCCTGTTCAAAAGAAGGGGAAGGAGATTAAAAGGGCCATAGGCGAAATGAATGTTCTTTTAATCCGAAATTATATCTTATAACTATAAACATTATTTTTAGTGACAATACGTGTTGAATTGCTATCCTTGCTTTTTTTTTTTTATTATTTTGTGATATTTATAACAACCGACTTTGTTTATGTCTTAGAAAATCGAAAAGGTTAATCTGCAAAAATTGCAAAATTGTTTAACTTAGGAAAAGTAAACATTTTAAAAAAATGAGCCAGACATGTTTTGCGTATAATAAACTTGAATTTTAAAAAAACAAAAAAAAAAACGGAAATTTTCTACGTTTTTTTTTTTTTTTTACTGATTGTTCACACAATACAAGGCCGAAAGTATATTGTTGGAAGGGAAGGTGAAGGAGGAACTAACAAATGTATATTATAAGGACGTGTAGTATATAAATAGGTTGTTTCTGGACTTGTAGTGATAAAGATTGTAGTTGTCAAGGAAGCATCCTCTTGGGAATCTGTTCCTCAAAGTAACAGTTCAAGGTAAGGAGCTGTTTGAGTGGAACTTGCTCCTTACCAAAGGAGCACAATGAGAATGTGGATAGTTCGAGACTGTGAACATAGCATGGCGAGTCCTATCTGAGACGTTCTGGGCTGGTGGCACTAAGGAATATAACACGTCTGGACATCTACTATAGTAACAGAGATATAGTAGTGAAAGACTGGAAAAGAAGAAGAATTAGAAGAAGAGGCAGAAGAAGGTGAAGAAGAAGAAGAAGGTGGGGCATGTGGAAGAGGTGGATGTAAAGAAGAAGAAGAGGAGGAGGAGGAGGAAGAGAAGGAGGTAAAGAAGAAGAAGAAGAAGAAGGAGGAGGAGGAGGAGGAGCAGGAAAAAAGAAAAATTAGAAGAAGAAGCAGAAGAAGATGAAGAAGAAGAAGGTGGGGCATGTGGAAGAGGTGGATGTAAAGAAGAAGAGGAGGAGGAGGAGGAAGAGAAGGAGGTAAAGAAGAAGAAGAAGAAGAAGGAGGAGGAGGAGCAGGAAAAAAGAAAAATTAGAAGAAGAGGCAGAAGAAGGTGAAGAAGAAGAAGGTGGGGCATGTGGAAGAGGTGGATGTAAAGAAGAAGAAGGAGGAGGGGGAAGAGGAAGAGGAGGAGGAGGAGGAAGAGAAGGAGGAAAAGAAGAAATATTAGAAGGGACAGAAGAAGGGACAGAAGAAGAAGAAGAAGAAGGTGGAGGAGTAGGAAAAAAGAAGAATTATGAGGAGAGACAGAAATAGAAGCAAAAGAAAAAGAAGAAACGGAAAAAGATGTAGGAGGAGAAGAAGAAAAAAAGAAGAGAACGTAGACAAGGTGAGGAGGGAGGAGGAGAAGAAGACAACTGAATTAGGAATAGAAGAGACAGAAATAGAAGTAAAAGTAGAACAAAGAAAAAGATGAAAAAGAAAAGGCAACAAAGAAGAAGAAGAAGAATGGGGAGAATTAATAATGATGTATAAAAAAGAAAGTTGACGACCTGTAGAAAGAAAAGAAAAGAGTCTAATAACAATAAATACAACAAAAATGACAGCTGAAACAATGTTCATTGTCCAAGATCACTTAAATCGTGGATAATGGAGGGTGTAGTCAGAAAGAAGAGAGATGGAAAGAAATTTCAAGAAAAGACAAAAAGGGAAAACTGAAGGAAATAGAATAAGTGGGCAAATGAAAAAGTGTGCCCAAAACAAGAAGCGAAAGGCAATGGAGGAACAAAGCTGTCAAATAAAACGCAGGAAACGAAGTCAAATATTGCGTGTGTGGCCATTGTTGGTTGATTTTGGTTTTTTTGTTTTGTTGTTTATGAAAATTGCTCGTGTGGAAAATTGTTGTCAGTTGCGATGACAGATGTCCAAGAAATGGACGCGCTGAACTAACATCACTTCTTTAATGTACAAAGTGCGTTGGAAAAGACTAACTGCCCACACACTGCCACCGACATGTCCCGACTTACCAAATGGTCGTTTCAACATATGATTTAAAATGGCGGAAAGAAGAGACATTTGTCGATATTTAGATATTCCGGTAGGCTGCCTTGTGGCTGAGACAGTTGCGTAGTCCGCCAATAACGGGAGCAACAAAGTTCTAAAGAAAATGAGAATTAGAAAGACACCAATATTTAAAATCGGGAAAAAAAACAGTTGAATATTCTGACATAGATGAGAAAGGACGGCTTGGCAAACTTAATACACACAGGATGCATTGATTGAAGAACAAGTATAAAGAAACAACGAGTAAGTAAGCTGAGGAGTTTGTATGAATAGCAACAAGAGAAAGGACAAACACAGATAATGATGTTAGAGCTACAAGGAACAGGAAGTTGTGAGAGGGCCATGATCGTCCATGACCAGAAAGGACACCACAGAATATATACATCATGATGATCATCAAAAATTAGTAAAGACAGTTAAAAACGTGGACATTGACAGCTGAAAATACCCACTTTCATATGAAAAATTGGCGAATTTAAATGCTGATATGAGCGTTCGAGAAAAATCATGAGAAGTTTGTAGTTTAAAAACAGTAATTTAATCTTGCTAGCCAGACGCATCCTCTGTAGCTAAAATTTATAGCCCGTCAGGTTATATGACGGTTCCGTGTAGGGTACAGGTTCGATTTCTGTTGGAGATCACATATTTTCTACGAGATTTATCGGACATTCAGACCTGTAAATGTAGTTAGTACGGTTTGTTGCAAACAGAGCATTTACTGAAAAATTTGTTTCTATAACGTATTAACAGAATGAATATATATATATATATATTATGAAATATACTAAGTCGGTGGACACATTCTTTCGAATGAAGGCCGGCAAATGTAATTAATATTGTTTACTGGAAACAGGGCATTTAAATAAAATAATTGTAGCTATAAAAAATGACGTAGAAACAGAAAATATATTTATAGATATACTTTTTGAACAAGAAATCCAAAAGTCATGACTCCTTGCATAAAAAATATAATATATATATATATATATATATATATATATATATATATATATATATATATATATATATATATATATATATATATATATTATAATGGGCGCGTGGTCGTGTCGTTAGAATCTTCAAATATATATTCAGATGTGGAATGATTAGTTAAGTTTCCATCACAAATGCTCTGTTTTAGTAATTTTTTTTTCATATTTCGATTAAAATGTAAAAAATTGTGAAAATTTATTCAAAATAATAGACTGTATTTATTTTGTGGAAACTTTGGAACACTCTTACATGAACATGATGTAAAAGATGATTCAGAAAATCCTGGGCCTAATAGGATTAATAAATAGGATTAATATATTTTGCATCTAAATTAGATCCAGGTTTGAAAAACTTAGGAACTACGTGTTCAAACCACGCCATTTTTTTCCGTTTGACAGTGGCGAGAAGAGATTACTGGTGACCAGTCAAAACTTTCAACCCTTTTCCGCGCAAATTCTATGTTCTCAATAGATGATGCCAAGGAGTTTTCTCAAACGTTTGGAACATTCTCTCTGTATCTGCCAACACGTTTCACATCCATATAGGAGAATAGAGACTACCAGCGATTATTCTTGAACAATTGTAGATAATCCTTTAAGGAAATTGACAAAACTGCTATCAGTCATAGACATTTGAAGGTGCAAATGTCAAGAAAGGCAAAAAAAAAAAAAAGAAGTTCAAGCTCTCAAAACTACAGTTTAAGTAAACATACGTGTCTTTGTTTCTGGTAAAATTGATTCTTTTGTCAATATAAAAACAATGACATTTTATATATTTATCGACGCGCTGCCGGATCTATCCAAATTATTAATGAGATCATCCTTTGTCACAGGAGCAAGATGCCAATAAAGGAACATGCCTTGTGTTTCTATAACAACGGAATATTTGATTAGTAAATAAGGGAGATCACTCTGCCAAAGCATTGTGTTTTATGTCATTTTCATTTGCTTTCAGCTTCCTTTGTTTATTTTCATTTTAATGTATTCTTCTTTATGTGCTGTATCCCCTCAAGGCGTAGACGTTCATAGCTCTTCACAGCTTCCTCACATTCATAGCAATAATAAAACATTATTTTGCTATTTCTCCTAAACCCTGTTGCATGCTATAAAATCATTACAAAATTCTAGTGATTTTATAACATGGATTTTTTTATAAATTTGAATTAATATTATTAGCGCTAATCAGTATTGAACAGTCTCTTAAGCATAGTATTTTTTTATTGGAATTTTATTCCATGTGTACTAACCCTGTACTTGTGTGTGTATATAAATAAATATATATATATATATATATATATATATATATATATATATCCCTTCCCTTAAGTGAAACCGTGGTAGGTTTATCTGGCTCTCTAGGCTTAACTAGGTCTGCTCTACTCATTGTATGGAGCAATTTATTTAGTTTTTTGGGGGGATACTCGCATCGGGGTCTCTTTCTTTGGGTCTTGAACTCGTATCCTGGACAATTATTTTCGGTTAACGTACATGTTCTTGGTGCTTTCTTTTTTATACCTTTTTTCCCCTTTGGTATCGGCTTGTTTATTTGCAAATCAATATACCGAAGGTTTTCCGAGCGAGTATAGTTTCTTATACTTATAAGATTTATATTAAGTCTCTCTCTCTCTCTCTCTCTCTCTATATATATATATATATATATATATATATATATATATAAACGCAACTTTTCCGTACTTTCGTCCTAACTTATCTTTAGCTTCGTCACAATGCCTGCTCATGAGTTAGTACTATTTTTGTCACATGATCGAAGTTTGAGTTTCAGTTTTCGTGCCTCCGTTACACTGTAAACATGACCACTCCTCTAGCAGTGTGCCACAAGGAGGAACCAAAATCTGCAGAGAATATACTAGCTCATCGATGATAACTAACCGATTAGCCATTACCATCTCTTGAACTGAATCTTCTCGTCAGTGGTAGAGGTTGACGGGCGTCTTGCTCCTTCTTCGTTCATCACGCTTGTTCAAACACTTTTAAACTTCTTGATCCACTCGTACATACTTGTAGGCGGTAGGGTACTGGGGCCGTATTATGTGAAAGGCCTCCAGTGAATTTCAGCCTCCTGAAACATCTTCCGACCAGAGAAATCTTTTTTCCTTCTTGGTGCACACTGCTACGGAGCGGCTATGTTTACACAGTAATTTAATCTACACTTTGAGTTGCCCTCGTGTGTACACACACACACACACACACACACACACACACACACACACACACACATATATATATATATATATATATATATATATATATAATAAAAAGGCTTAAACACTAATATTCCATGGTCATAATTTATTCCATTGGAATCATAAATACGATACAATTCATCAGACCTACAAATTCAAAAAAGCAATTTTTTGAATTTGTAGGTCTGATGAATTGATCGTATTTACGATTCCAATGGAATAAATTATGACCATGGAATATTAGTGTTTAAGCCTTTTATTATATCCTTACTCTGTCCTAGACATTGAGTTCTACCTGGATTCTATCCTCTTGGAATCTTTATTCAAAAAAATATACATGTATGTGTATGCACCTATGTATATATATTTATATATTTTGCATATGTTTGTGTATATTTACCACTAATATTATCTATCTATCTATCTATCTATCTATCTATCTATCTATCTATATATATATATATATATATATATATATATATATATATATATATATATACAGTCATCCATAGACAACCTCTTTCGCTGTATTACAGCTCATCAGTGAGATAGACATCCGATACGAAGGTAACTCTTAACTCTTTTGATATATATATATATATATATATATATATATATATATATATATATATATATAAGAGAGAGAGAGAGAGAGACGGCAGAGAGAAGGGCATTCATGGAATATTGCAGTCACATCTGAAGTGATGCTTTTGCGCTCTATTTCGGGATTCTTGATAAAATCAAAAGAATCTGCAATGTTATCAGTCCTGACCTGGTACCTCGGCTTCAGTCACTTTTCTCACCGCTGTAACTTAAGTTAAAAACATGGCTTTTTAGACAACTTTGAAGTTCACAATGCAATTCTCAATCCTTAATCTTCTGTCTATTCCTGTTGTCTTATTGCTCTATCTCTCCTTAATAATGATTTCTTTTTCTCTTATTATTTTACACTAAGAGTCTTAGTGGCTTATGGCCTTACTTGGGGTAAAATGATTCATAAGAAAGATATGGAATGCATATCGCTTATTTTACTATATCTTTGTTAAGGTCATTCTTGTTCATGATTCATCTTTACTGACATGCATACTGTGCTTGCTAGTATAAAATAAAACTAAAATAAATTTTTACTTTTTACTGGTAAGTTTACAATAAAAAATCTGATTAAAAGTAAAATATGTATATTTTTTTATAAAGAGTATGTTTTGTGGGGAAAAGTTTTCGAAGCATAAGAATATTATTATTGTCTGCATATAAATTAGAAAAGAGAAATTATAGTCCTACAGAAAATGGTTACAAACAATAATTGTTACAGTCAAATATAAAGTCTTAAAAAAAAAAAAAAAGACAGAAAATAAAGGAAAGACAATATTGCGGTAAAAGTGTCAATAATTATGTTGTTGCAACCTAGGACAGGTTAGTGAATGAGGAATAACCAAAACTGGGGTTAGAAATGAAATGGTAAACCTTATAACATCAACAAAATACAATACTCGCCAGCGGCGTGAAGTAGGTAAACCACTGCTAGAGGTAGACTACTAAGACAGCATATTGAGATTTCTTGTATAAAATTATACAATTTTGGCACAAGACGGAAGTGGGATTTTCTAAGCGTAGCTTAGATGTCGCACAAGGCCAAAAGTATGGGACACCTATTGAGGATAGAACTCTTTACTCAGTTGTAATTGTTCTAGCGAGACAAGCTTTCAAACCATTACACCACGCCGAAGTGCCCTACGTAGAGAGCATATTACTCCTACTTACAATAGTGCCCAACGTATTTATGAGGATTGAGACATACCCACTAGTGTTCATA